CTCTTAAGACTCTTTTAATCTATAGGTTTTCTCCATTTCTTCTTTTACTTCCCACAATTTATTAAAGAAACGAATTTTCCAAAGTGCTGATAGTCTGGAATTTGATTATTTCATTACTGTGTGTCATTAAACATCCTTCATATTTCTCTATTTTTTCTGTGAATTTTTAGATTTTGAGGACTGATTGACTCAAAAAAATTGAGATTGATTCAAAAAAATTGACTGTTCAATTTTTTTGATAAGAATACTTCCCAGGTAGTACTGTCACTTCTATTTGAAGCACATAATGCCTGCTTGTTTCCTTCTTTGTGACATTAGTGGACAGTGGAGTTCACTGGTCAGATCCATTATTTCCCTATTGCAGACATCAATTATAAAATCTACGCATTTTAATTTATCTCTGGCATTATGTGACTTCATTGGATCCTGCTGTTTTCCTAGAAATTTGAGTGATTTAAAATTAACAAAATGAAAATAGAGAAGTTTCTATTTCTAAATTTCTTTTTGTGGTCCTGCCTGGACATCCAGGGGGTCAGTTGTAAGGGTATGATATATCCTGGTGCTCTACAGGCACATGCACCAAGGGATTGGGGATGGTGAGGGAAGAACAGTGTTGGCTTTAGGTGTTCATGGATATGCAAATGGCCTTGGCATAGATTTTTCAAAAATGTTCTAAATCCAAAATTCATTAACTCCTACTTAAGGAACAACTTTGCCCAAGGACTCTTTAGGAATAAATAATGGATTTAAAGTAGTTATCTCTAAGTTCCCAATCTCAATGAGAAGAAAAGAAAGCAGCTGCTTGAGACAAAAACACAGGGGTTCTACTCTCTTACAGGTTACTGCCTCTGTCTGGCACGTGAACTGTAGCACGCTTTTATGCAGCAGCCTTTCCTGTCAGGTAGAATAAAACACATGAGAGAGCTACTAAGAATTTTCCTTTAGGAGAGTCAACACTCAACATTTCAAATGTAGATCATCTGTCCCATCAATAGACAGAAGGATGAGACAAAGCTATTCTAGAAAAGAAGTAAAGCCCTTTGAATACAGGGAAGATGAAAAGAATAGTAGGTAATTGACAGAGTTTGGTTTTGCATTTTGGAAGTGCTTTTGTGTGCTAGATGTAGTGCTTTGTTGTTGTGGCAGTAAAACAGCAGAATAAAGGTGCTAGCTTTACAGGGTTCTGTTTATAAAAAGATGCTAAGAAAGAGACAAAGCCTTTTCTATGTATGTGTTTTAGATTTCTAGTTTCATTAATGATCTCAAAAGAAACTAAACAGCATTCAAAACCAATTCCATATGAGGACTAAAAGCCAGGAATTAGGACCCAGAATTTAAAAATCTGGAGACTTAAATAACAATTTTAATATAACTCCCCCTCCAAGACTTCTCTACATTCACATAATAATCCAGTTTATCAATGTTATAGGAATTAACGTCCTCCAAAAGTATGGACTAAGCCTATCATTCACTGTCATATCCCTAGCGGCTAACAGAATGTGTGGTACACTGTAAGTATTCAACAAATGAATGAAAGCCCTAAAATTGTTAAAACCAAGAGTCTTAATTGTGAAATAATACCTGTAAAAAGGACAACAGTAGGCCAAGTCTCATAAGCTGTCATTTCAAAAATCCTGCTTAATAAAAGTGTTGGGTTGATACATCCAGTGTCTAGAAAGCTGTAAAACAACTGGAGAAGGTCCAGAGCCAGACCTGACTTGCTCCAGATTACAGAGCATGACAGCTGGCCTTACTGTTTGCATTCCTGTCTCTGCCTTTTGGTGAGCAGTTTCCGTTCCAACAAAATCTCATTTTTAAATTTACTCTGATATTTATGTTTAATGATTTAATATCATATCACACCAGTCTGGCCTTCGGGATGCCCTTGACATGCATTTTTCTGATTGACCTTTACATATATTATATACAAACAGGCCAGAAACTATCCATCCCCACAGGAGCCTCTCAGGTGATTTCACTTCTTGCTCCAGAAACAGACTTCTGCATACTTTGTTTAAAGCCAGCTCCCCCGACCCTCATGTCTTCTGTAAGCTTGTCCAGACACGGGGAGCATCGTTAGGCCAGGTCTTTCAGTCGTTCCATTGCTTGCAAAGCAATCATTTCTAGGCGTTTGGTGTCTTGTCTGACATCTGTTTGATGCTGCAGCTCCAGCCTCTATCTCAATGAATCACTTGTCAGCGAAGGTTGTGGCATCTGAGGCTGGATTTCACACCTCTGGGAAGGGTCGCCTGTGATGTAAGTGATCTCAGGGTTTTTGAAATGACCAACCCCATCCCCCCACATCCCAAGAGAAAATGAGGGAGACAGGGGAACCTGATGCTTGCTTATTCAAGGCTTATTTTGATGTGTCCCCATAGGCTGGAGCCAGGCTTTCTTCTCTGGGGAACATGTTGCCAACTCATCTCCATGGTTGGAATGCTGCTGCTGGGAAAAATCAGACTGAAATATTTGTGTAGAACATTTTGAGACTATCGGATAGAATAAGAAGAGATTTTTGAAAAAAGAAACAAGGAAAAAGGAATTTACCATTCTTTAGTAGTTTGCAGATCTTATTTTTTTTTAAAGTGCAGTTTGATGGCTATATCCATGTTGGTTCATGTCTAGCCAGAGGAGCAAGGAAGGGGGATAGAGGGTCAGGAGTCAGATTGGGTTATAAACCTGTCTGAGATTAGCAAGGCACCTAGGCTTTTCTTTCTTTATTCTCCAAAAGGTACCAATGATCTCACAAGTACATATGGCAAATGACAATGCTTTGAAAACCACAAGGCCTACAGTAGCCCCTAGTAAAAAGTGATTATTCACAATGTCCTAGGGAAACTCCCTTGTGCATCTGAGGACTTGAGGAGCACAGAAAGAAAAGGAAGGGACATGCTAAGCCTGAGAACTCCACAGGTGCCTTTCTAAACTAGGATCCCTTGAATAGGGCACGTTTCATGGAGCAGAGGTGGAATGCAAGATGAAATTAGAGAAAAATAGTAAATTTTTTATTTCACTTTGTTTTGTAGGAAAGGAGGATGCTAGATAAGGCATATGATGGAGGGGTTCTTCTTTGTGACTTTAGAACTCTTTGCCTTGGTTTCAGAGAAAGTCACAACAGGAAGAGATTATCACAGACAAGCTCCCAGGACGGGAAGATGGAATTTCCAGATCTGATGAAATGGGAAATTTTTAAGGTTTTAATTCAAAGGGAAACTGATATCCCATCTGAGGCTTCTGAATCTTACAAAGGATTCTTTTCATGTTCCTAAATTAGTACAAGTGGGTGGGGGGTGCTGTAGGGTGCCAAAACTTGGGCTCATCAGTCACTTCATGCAATTGAGTTGCAAAACATTTAGCCCTGAAATGCAAATCATTTAATCACCCCTGACTCAGTAGTTGACCAAAAGTTGTGAACCCTTGGGAGCAAGGAATTCCTAACACTATGGATGATATGGTAATAATACACTTCACAGCATGAACTTCAGATCTCCTGAAGGAGGCTGGGGAGCAATGGAGTATTCTTTTTTTTTTTTTTTTTTTTTTTTTGAGAATCAATATTCTAAAGTTTCTGCATAACAAAGACAGACCCTCTCTTCCAAACAAGTTGAAAAGTAGTGATCCCAAAGGGCAGCTCTCAAGTCCATCCCGACTACCCTGCACATCTTGCTCCATTCTGATATGTTAATGAAAATGCACTTTGAAATTAAAAAGAGGATAAAGTAAGAATACTCCATTTCCATTTGAGTCTGACTATGCAACCTGGGTATGAAAAAAAAAAAAACAACCACATTTGCTTAAAAATCTTACAGTTCTGTCTACACTTGCTTGGGTAGGTGTGAGATGCTCAGGAGGTAAAGAACTGCTCATTCGCTCATTCATTGACCATCTTAGAAATGAGACTGGGGATGCAGGTTGGATTCCAGCTTAGAAGTGAAGCATTGCAAACTCTGTGCAGCCAAAAAGAAAGTGGAAGAAGAATGTTGATTTGGGGACCACACAAAAGTTGGGATTTGAATTTTAGCATCTTCTATTACGTATTTTCTTTTTTCATTTTCTCTCTTCTATCCACTATTTAATTTTACTTTTCCACTCTCTCTGTTAGAGTACTCTCATCCTTAAGGATTGACCTGTAAATGTATAGGATTTCTTCTCTAGTCAATTAAAAAGTATCTATAATTTCCTAAGGGCATCCATCACCACGGAAGGAAACAGTTCATCACACCAAACAGTGCCACCCTCTGAAGTTGCTTTTGCTGCAAATATTATAAAATGATCCTTTGACTAAAGGATGACACTTCATTGACATCTCAAATCTGTTCACTCACTCCCCAGGAATAGCTCTCATGAAAGTAAACTGCTGCCGAAGCCACTGAACCAACTGGAAAAGACACTTGTGACTTTCTGTTGAGGTTTTCACAATGGCTTCAAAAGAAATGCGGATTAATCATTTGTTTTGACCCAAGAGCAGCAGAACTTATTTTGAAGACTTAAACAGGCAACACAAATGTAAACAGAAGTCTGCGACTCCCAAATGCTAAAGCTGAAAGGAGTCAGTCTGGAAACGTCAGTTCTACTCAGCGTTTATTTTCATTTGAAGAGAGTGAAAATCATATATAAATCACGGACAATACGAGTTCTTGCCTGGCAAATGTCTACATGAAACTGTTAACCTCTAAGTATAGATACAGTATTCTTTAATAGAAAGACAGGGCAATATGGCAGTTAATTAGCAACCAATACTGTAAACTACAGTAGATACAAAGTTTTATATAAATTAATTGCCATTATAAAAAGGCAACTGCTTTTACTAAGAAGGTACAAAAACTGGAAACTTCCATAAATATAATAAGAAGCTAAGTGAAGAAATACCTAACAGACTGTTTTTCCTATATAATATTTGAATATGCAAACTAAGACACCTGTGGCACATTACAGGAAAGTAGGAATAGGACATACACCCCCAACCCAAGCACCCCCACCCGCCCAGGCCCACCCCTCCCCCCAGGTGGATTTCCCAAACACGGCAAATTCTAGGGTTACAAGGACAGGATGCCACACTGAAGCAGCAAGACTGCCAGCTCCAACCTGCTAGACAAAGAAGGAGCCTTATTGACAGTTGTAAAGCATTAGGCGTCAGACAGAAACTTGTCAAAAACAGCTGTTGTTGGGTACTGATTGATAATGTTTTCATTCTGACGGCTGAGATGCTACAGACAGTCGTGGGTCTGAGGAGAGGCCCATCCCTGGCATGCACATGAACACACACAGACGACGGGAAGTCATTTAACAGATGGCTTAGGAGCACTCAGCCACAGTATCTTAAAGAGAAGACATTTTACATTTAATGAACTTGCAGGGAAAGCAAGGCCTAATAATCATTTATTTTTTTCAGAGAAGATGATCACAACAGGACAAAATAAAAACAGGAATTGTGTAACTGGTCATGGGAATATCAATTCTGTGCTGCTCACAGATTATTACACAGTGCTAAAAATATTCCAGGATAATGTAGACACAATTGTATATAAGTCACTATGGATATTTTCTGGCCCATGCCAAAAACAAAAAAACAAAAAGAAGTTTTAGATGCTTCAAAGGTAATGATTTCAGTAAAATCCATTTCTAAAATCAAATAACAAAAACTGTGTCTGAAAGATGTGAAGGGTCTGAACTATATCATCTGGAGAATTATGAGGTTTTATGTCACTGTGTGAGACAGCGTGAGTCAGTGGTATTTGGGTATCGGTCTATGCTGCCTAAAAATTACAAACATGTTTTTATTGCTCAGGTGTAGGGAGCAGTTTTCTATCATTTGTCCACTTAGTATTTCAATCAATGGTCAAAAGTCTACAAAATGTGCCAAAGAAGATTTCATCTATGAACTTCAATATCCATAGATTATTCCTGATTTAGAAAAGGTCAAAGGTGCTAAACCTTACTAAAACTGTACATTTATCTCTACGCAATTTTATCATTTAAATTAAGTGAAAAAAAATCGTTCCAAAGACTGAAGCTAGACCCTCAAATTATTTATCTGCTGCAGCCCCAGCACATTTTAAGGGCACATTGAAACCCCTGAAAATAGAGGTTTATAATAGAAATACTGATAGACCTTTTAACTAGATGGAGGCTTTAAAAGACTCCATTAAACTATATTAGCACATAATGAATAAATACACAGATGAATCTGTCTTCAAATTCTTGCCAGCTTAAACATTAACCAGTATAAACTATGCTTTGTTTGGCTGTTTTAAAATTTTTATTTTTTAAAAATTATTTTCTCTATTTCAATCAAACATTTCTGGTTTTTAGAAAAAGATAACTACATTACGTTGCAGCTTGGCTTTATGGAGGCTGATTGTTCCACTAAAACATTTGAGGACTTGACCAAATGCAATCAGTGACGTATGCATTGTGCCTAAGTTTCCTAAAACACCCACCCCCCCAAAAAACCCCAAAAAAACCAAAAAACAAAAAACTAGAACAGTGTTTTTGCTCTTAAAAGGGGAAATGGAGTGTGACCTCAGATAGATCAAGGAAACACTATGCATCTGGTCTTTAAGTTCTTCAAACCTAATTTTCCTGTGGTAGGATACTCTTTCATAAGAGGATTAATGGAAGTTTTTGGTACTCATTTTTTCACTCATATTCTATAAGGTTGGTATACAAAAAAAACCCCTAAAAATAAAAATAAGATAAAAAATTAAGAAAACTCAACCCCCAGAGATCTTGAAAATGACATACATAATATTGTGGGGTCCAGGTACACAATCTTCCACTCCCAAGCCCAGGGAAAATTAGTCAAGGTACTGTTGAGTCTTTCTGAGTTCTTCACAAGGGATTTGATTTCTGTGAGCCATGAATTTCATCCATTTTAGCACAAAGTATAGAAGAGATGCTTAGAACAACAGAAGGAGGAGACATGCGGTGAAGATAATTAGTGGTAAACAGAGAATAAATTCTCTCAGTAGTGTGTACTTGTCGTTAATGCCGATGATAATTCACCTGACTTACATAATATTCACTTTGAGAGATGAGAGTCTGAAATAACTAAAGGAAAACAGAGACTGAAGTCATGATAGTCTTGATACCAAAATAGAATTAAAATGAGACACTAACATGGGAGGTTCAAGGCCTTGTGGGAACCCGATTTCTTTGCCAGGTTTCACATTCTCATAGCTTCGTGGTCCTTTTCTTCTAACAAATGTATCAGCTGAGAGAAGCTGTCTTTCAGTGCATCCATGTCATCCAGCGAGCAGGGCTGCAGAATCCAGCGTTTTCCACGAGCAAGTGGTTCAAGTTCAAAATACTTTTTGATCTTAAGGGGGGAAAATAGAGATAAAGATGTTATTGATTATATCCGACACTTTCTCATACCGAAATTTGGAGTGATGAAATGAGGGAATTTCAAGAAGAATTTACAGGAATTGAGATGTCTAGGACTTTCTAGAACCCTGCCCACAGCTGTTGTTGTAACAGGGGTTATATGATGTGACCTGAGAGTGTTTTCTTTAGGGGTGGGTGACCTGCTTGCAAGACACCATTCCATCCATACACACAACAGCACGGGAGGTCTGCAGAAGTCTGAGAAAGAATTATATGCACTGTGGCACAAGACAAAATACACTGCAGGCACCAAGAAGGCTCTATTTCACCAAAATAATGGTAGCAGAACAGTTTTTACTCTCACCTTGGCACATTATTAAATTGGTGACAACCTATAGTATGTACTGTATCAATTACTCAAGATAATTTTGGCCATCAAGGACATAAACAACAATAACAAAAACTAATTTAAACCATCTTGTTCTCTCCTCTCAAATTTGCATTGTCTACTGCTGAGATCTATGAAAGAGTTTTCTAGGAAAGAGTACAGAAATAGAGTGTGCATGCATGTGCAAGAAAAAAATATATATTTTTTAACATACATTTACATACATGCATTGAATCTCCCAACCTTTTTTCTGAACTTACTGGGAGGGAAAAGTCAAAACTTTATAACGTTACAGAGGTGACATATTTGCTATCTTAAAAACTTTTCAGTTAATAACCAGTGACAGGCTGGGGTTGTGGCTCAGTGGTACAGCACTTGCCTAGCATGTGTAAGGCACTTGGTTCGATTCTGAGCACCACATATAGAATAAAATAAAGGCCCATCAACAATCCAGTCAGAAGTAACTCTTACTGTCTTGGCTAGGATATTGACTAACAGCCTCTACCATTACCAACTTCTGACTAAATCAATATCCAATTGTTAGGAGTTCCAGAAGGATTGATGGGGTTCTCCCAAAGTGTCTGACCAAGTACAGAGCTCATGAAGCTCCTCATTCACACACACCAATCACATAGGACAGAACTTTGCACTTACTGCCCAGCAAGGTTTATATAAGATAAATTACAGTCAAGTAGCAACAGCAGAAAAGTCACTGTTCAAAGACATTCTTGATCAAATAATCCCATTAAATCCCACATGCCATGGAAAATTCCAGTGTCTTACTTGAGTCAACGCATGACCCAGAAAAAGTGGATCAGTCTTAGGCCATTCTCGTGTGATATCATTTTGCTTGTACCATTGCAAGAACAAATGTCAATGGTAAAGATACATCACCCAAACTGGCATTAATATGTCTGTATATTTTTTCATATGAGCAAGAAGATATATATAAGAAATACCAAATTTTTATGCTAATTTAGGAGTGAGAAAATGCTAACATTTTATAGTTCAAGTGTGTCCCAAAAGTCATCTTATAAATGCCAACAAATTCACAATAAATACTAATTCTAGGAAAAAAGAATATCTGAGAATTGAAGAAACATCATCAATCTGATTCTGATTCTGGAGAGTACTAAGAATCCCATCACAATTTTTTTTTTTTTTTTTGCCCCGTGTATTTCACAAATCACCTTGTTAGGAAAATTCTCATTTATTTTTTTTTTGTTGTAGATGGACACCATACCTTAATTTACTTATTTATATGTGGTGCTGAGGATCGAACCCAGGGCCTCATATGTGCTAGGCAAGTGCTCTATCACTGAGCCATCCCAGAGAATTCTCATTTATTAAAAATAAAAACTCCATTTTTTCAGTTTCTTTTCATTAGGGTGTGGAAAACAATTTACCTCCAAGAAAATTTGAAACTACTTGTGCAATGACTAGTATCAGAGACCAACTCTGTCCCACAGAGGGAGGAACTTGCCAGTCAGCTGATGGCCTTCTGCCAGCAGCAGGGGGTGGAGGCAGGTAGGCAACTGTGGCTAAGTTCACTGCAAGAAAGGGGAGTGGGCTCCTGAGGATGTAAATGGGAGATGTGAATTTTCTTGCTTCTCCCCAAAAGTGAGGCTTCAGACTATATCACTGGGTGCAGGAATGGGGACTGCTGTGCTTCTAAGGCATTCTGGTATTTTTTAATCAATAATACTTCTCATCAGACAAAGGACATCATGTAATGTCCTAAATCTGGTACATGAAGGAAGTTGTACCTATGCCACATTTTATAACCTCAAATACAAAAGGACAGCATTTTAAATGTTACTAATAACTGGGAAGAGTGCCAGTCACAAGAAATTCAATAATATTAAAATTAAAGAAAGCACCAAGCCAGTAAGTGTATTTTACTAACAATACTTCTTCCAGTGGTTCATTTCAAAATGACACAGAATTGATGCTGGCAGCACATTCACAGCTAATTTGAAAACAATGTTGGATTTTAAAAATAGTAGCAATTCACGATATTTTGCATAACTGACTAGATGCAAAAAAAAAAAAAAAAAAAACCCAAAAAACAAACAAACAAAAAGAACAACAACAACAACAAAAAAAACCCCCATGAGGTGTAGCTACCCATTAGATAGATTTGTTTCTAAGCAACTGAAAATACATTCCTGTAGCCTCACTTGGAAGAAAATGAAGATGTCCGAAGGCAGATATGCCCCAGGAGTTGCTCTGCTGAATACTAAACATGAGAAGGAAATGAAAGCTGTGATGACAGGGTGGTCACCAGATAAAGAAGCCTGGTGGTGTTAAGCTGACAAATATCGCTGGGTAACTTGAGATTTTCAGATTTGTAACCTACGTGAGTACCTAACCTGCCATATTCACCCCACTAGTATCCAAAGGATTCCGTGCAATTTATACTATCAATTTAAAAACAAGATTGGGCACTCCACCCATGATCAAAGGACAGTGGGTGCTGCTGAATGTAGCCTGGTGTTTCCTGTTTCTACACAGGTCAACTCAGCATAAGAAAGGGAATGGGGAAGACTTCATGTTCTAACTTTGATTTTTCTTTTTTTTTTTTTTTTTTAGGATAATGTTTTTGTTTTGTTTTCTTATATTTACCCTAGCTTCAGATTATACTTTCCCAGTATGGTTACTCTGACTTTGTCTGTCTACCATTTACTTTTCTGTCCTTGTAGATGTTGGTGCATAATTATACAGAAAGGTGCTTAGGTTTGATAGATATAGATAACATGCTTAAATCTGAAATTGCTTTTAAAATTAAAATTTAAAAAAACCTACCTGTGATGCAAGGATTTATTTTTCATGATGGACTTAATTTTTGAAGGTCATTTTCTCATCGAGATAAAAATTTTAAAGATGACTTAAGAGAAAATGAACTTAAGTCTTGTGAATACTTTATCAGCTGCTTAAATGTCATGGTTAACTGAAAACTGCTGGAATGAGGAGCTGGTGAATGTTTCGCTTTGGCTTTTGGAGAGAACACTTGGGGGAATGACATCAGAATACAGCTGCCTGGCAACCTGTGGTCATCTGGCTATTTTCAGGATACCCAGAGTGTGGGCATTTGTTAGTGGCCATGTGTCCACCCTAGAGATGGGAAAACAAAGCCACCATCAGTAGCCAACCTATTTTAGCTATGTCATCAGAGCTCTTCACTCTTGCCACTGCAGGGTGATCTGCGTTGCTGTATCCCATGATTGACACATCACCTCGGCTGTAAAGTCTCAATAGTGCAGAGAAGAATTGGGACCATCTCATTGTTGCTAATGTCTGTAGCAGCTGTTAAACTGGGGAAATGTTTCAGATCACAGGAGACCCACTCACTGGGTAGGACATGTCCTTTATGCTTCCTTGAGTAGTGAAATCATAAGATAAGCCTTTCCTAGCTACATGATCGCTAAGGGGATCTGAAGGATGCTAACTGATTTCCTGTCTTGACCTCACTTCAGTTTCAAAAATTTTACTTTCATTTCTTGTTAACCCAGTAGGACTAAATTTTTAGAAAGCACATAAATAATTTCTGAACTGTAATAATAGCTCTTTCCTTTTTAAAAACCTGCAAAACTGATTTTATTTATGATAATAAGTTACTTATTTTTTTCTGTTTTTTTAAAAATATTTTTATTTTAGATGTTGACAGACCTTTATTTTATTTATTTATATGTGGTACTGAGGATCAAATCCAGTGCCTCACACATGCTAGGCAAGTGCTCTAATACTGAGCCACAACCCAAGCCCATTTTTTTTTTTTCTGTTTTTGTTACTAAATCATGTAAATAATGTGGGCCCAGGGGTGACCTGGTTTTCCTTTAAGCACCTTGGACAGTGTGGGGGAGGGTGGAGAACACTCCAGAAAGGTTTTATTCAGCGATTTTATGTGAAATAGAGTTAGGTTCTAAGCTTGGATATTTATAAATAGAGTTTTGATCCATACGAAACTATGGTAAGACAGTTAAAAATGAGTCAGAATGTATGACAGTTTTTTATTATGTGGGACTTGGCCCATACACTGGCTCATGGGGGCTGGCACAGGTGGCTCATCCCTCATTATAGTTCATGTCACTCAGAGTCCTAGGAAACTAAATGCCATTAGCACCCATCAGTAATTGATAAAACTAAAAATGCTCCATCTTTCCTGGGTTCAAATCATCACCTGGGTGGTCCTGCGCTGTGGGGAACTGCTGCTCTAGCCCATGTGGAATGCAGGTACCTTTGTCTGGGCCCCGGTGAAATCTGAATACTTCCCCATCCTTCCCCAGATCCCCATCTATGAATAACACACATGCTTCCTTGGTCAAAAACTAGCAGATTATAACTGACTCTTCTTAAGCTTGAAGGTGGCTGTTAATGGATTATGGTGGGTGGGGATCAGTCTGTTCATTTTGTAAACTATCACATGAAGGGTGGACCCCCCATAGTTTCACTCATGCCATCAGCACCCCTTGAAGAGGACTATACTGAGTGTGTGGAGGCAGCAGAGAGGAGCCACCTGTGCCAGCCTCCATGAGCCAGTGTATGGGCTTCCAGTGATGTGGACAAAATAGAAAAAATCCAGACAGAAATAACAGCAGCCTGAC